ATGTTTTTATTTCAGGTTGAAATAACATGTAAATGGTGATGAAAAGTATCGAATTCCATTGAAACAGTTTTAACCTATTTGATGAAAAACATGGTAACTATTCGTTTTTGAATTAGCGGAACATATGCATTTTGAATATCCGTTGTATAAAATAATTGACTTCCTTTATCAATCACATATTCATCCGCAATGCGTGTGTGATTTAGGTCGGACTGTTACAATGAACATGAACCATTCAAGTTTTACTACTATTAGCATTACTACTTACTACTTAAGACCACAATAGGCCTATGTCATCTTCGATAACTACTTCTAATATGCAAAAGAATCACATACCAATGTGAATTATTTCAACATCCCTAGAGCGAAAATAAAGCTAAAAACAAACGTTTTTGTGCAATTATTTAAGATTCTTAAGTCCATATACGCCACTGGACTTCATAATAATTCCAATTGGGATCTGCTTCAACATCAGTCGAGGGTACATTCTCCTTGGTCTGGGACAGAAGTTGACAATTATTTGCAGAATTGTTCGCGCTTCCATGACGATGAAAGTTGAAAGCAACGCAATAAATATTTGAAGAACACCAACGTGCGCAGTCAAGTCGAGACCTTTTCATAGCTGTTTCCAAAATATGGGATTTAAGTTTTACTCCAGCAGTTTTAAGACAGTCGTTCACTTCTCTATATCTTGCATCGATCACTGAAAATAATTTATATTTCAATATAGATAATCAACTGACATACTTGCATAGTTCAAAGTCACAGTATGGGCTCAAGGGCCCATCAGGAACTCTCTTTAAGAGTAGTCCGCAATCACAAACATCATTTAAGGTTATCTAACCATGCTGTATGTTAAAATATGAAGGAAAGGCCTACTGAACAGGTGTTGAAGGTTACAGAAATTACTCTGCGTATACTGGTAATATTAAATCATCATACATACTGTTACATTGTATACCATCTCCACTGAACCCTGCATTACATGCACAACCAAAGCCACCGGGTGTATTTGTGCATGTCGCATCAGCGTGACAGTTATCGGTATTGCCTGAACATTCGTCAATATCTGAGCAGGTCACACCATCTCCGGAAAATCCTGCATTACATGCGCAAGCGAAGCTCTCCTGTGTATTTGTACATGTCGCATCAACATTACAGTTATTGGTATTGCTCATACATTCGTCAATATCTGAACAAGTTACACCATCTCCGGAAAATCCTGCATTACATGCGCAAACGAAGCTTCCCTGTGTATGTGTACATGTTGCATCAACGTGACAGTTATCGGTATTAGCCAAACATTCGTCAATATCTGAACAAGTTATACCATCTCCCGAAAATCCTGCATTACATGCGCAAACGAAGCTTCCCTGTGTATTTGTACATGTTGCATCAACGTGACAGTTATCGGTATTACTCAAACATTCGTCAATATCTGAACAAGTTACACCATCTCCCGAAAATCCAACATTACATGCGCAAACGAAGCTACCCTGTGTATTTGTACATGTCGCATCAACGTGACAGTTATCAGTATTAGCCAAACATTCGTCAATATCTGAACAAGTTACACCATCTCCGGAAAATCCTGCATTACATGCGCAAACGAAGCTTCCCTGTGTATTTGTACATGTTGCATTAGCGTGACAGTTATCGATATTACTCAAACATTCGTCAATATCTGAACAAGTTACACCATCTCCCGAAAATCCAACATTACATGCGCAAACGAAGCTTCCCTGTGTATTTGTACATGTTGCATCAACGTGACAGTTATCGGTATTAGCCAAACATTCGTCAATATCTGAACAAGTTACACCATTTCCCGAAAATCCAACATTACATGCGCAAGCGAAGCTTCCCTGTGTATTTGCACATGTCGCATCAACATTACAGTTATTGGTATTGCTCAAACATTCGTCAATATCTGAACAAGTTACACCATCTCCCGAAAATCCAACATTACATGCGCAAACGAAGCTACCCTCTGTATTTGTACATGTTGCATCAACGTGACAGTTATCAGCATTGTCTAAACATTCATTAATGTCAGTACAAGAAGTTCCATCTCCACTGTATCCTGCATTACATGCACAAGTGTAACTTCCGATAGTATTAGTACACGAGGCGTTTGAATCACACGTGTCTGTCCCCAGAATACACTCGTCAGCATCGACTTTAAGAGATACAAAATAGAATTGAATGTTCATACAAAAGGAAAATGGAAAACATTATAAAACATTATATAACATTAAACCAAGAACTATCAAAGTGTAATCGAGAAGTTACCAGAACCTTTTGATATGATATGAACCAATATATACCAATATGTAAATAGGAAGGCTTCTAGAACTCTAGAATAACGATGAATATGATGCAAAATGATAAAAAATGAATTGCCTGAATAAATGAATCTTACCGGGACTAGTTTGGCAGAGATACCCTTTCGATTGGCCAACACATTGTTTTGTTTTCCAGTCTCCTAGATTGGCTGAGACATCAGCAAATATACAACTATCAGAAAACGTCAGAGTTGGGCTTGGTTCACTAGCCCATCTAGTGTACACCGCACTTGAACCAATTCCATTCCAAATAAAGCGTCCTCCATGTATCATACCGTACCAATGACCAGTGGTTCTAATAAAAAAGTCAACTATGAGACCCGATACAAGGATGACACAAAACGGTCAAGCCAAGTAACTTAGTCAACATTCGATAATCGTATGTTCATCAGTATTTACTAAGAATGGTGCCACAATTGAAGTAAACCTCTGGTTAATTATTTTCAATAAACCTATTAGCAAACGTGTAAATGATAATTTTGATGTTCTGTTACATATTGGTGAAGCAATCTTTGGGATATGACCTAAATTTCTGATTTTCCACTGTGTCCCTGTATACCCCTACTTCAAAAGATTTATGTTATTTTTCATTTTTCATTATGAACCAACCATAAATGTATTTTTTCTTGTTTTCATACAGAATGAACTTTCTGTTTATAAATATTGCAAGATGGTACTGCATTTATTTGTTCATGATAAGGAGCAAACAAATGCGTGTCAATTTACACTGTAATATCCTACATACTTATATTTCAAGGGTAGTATTGAAGAATAATCAAGAAAATCCATGTTTTCAAATGGATTCATCCTTGCCAAAGAAGGTTAATGAGGATATGCGGTTTGAAAAACTAACAACATGTTTCAAGTTCTTACAATTCTTGGTTAAAACAAATAATTTGAAAGTTTTAATTTCGAATGTAATATCCTACTCAATGAAATTTGCTGATATTTGTGAATTTTTTCTTTCGGAATGCACATTGCTGGATAACAGAACCTTGCCTTGTTCGAGATGCACTAAAAGTGTATTGTTAATACTTGACGTCGTTCTGATATTTGGATGTGATTGACGTTTTCGTTAATCTCCTACCACTGTAACTTCCAACTTAATTTTTGGAAGCAAAATGTGATAGTCACGAATTGATATTTTAGTCACACGTTCATGCATACATCATGTGTGTACATTAACTGTCGAATACATGCCGACTTACATTTTTATAAATATCCACAGTTAACTCAAATCATCAATTCTCGAAACGGTTTATCATATAACCTGGTGAGTTTAATGTTTCATTTTAATTTATAATTATGGTATCAGATTTGAGTATGATATAAGTCGAGGCTTAAACGAAGCAATAAAATTACGTGAAACCTTTTGCGAAAATTCGAACGATTTTTCAAGAATCCTCTTTCAAAGTGTTACAAAAGTGCTCCCCGGGAGTAGAAATTTCGTCTTGTGTAATCAAAATTATAGCGGGTGGTTTGAATTTTTGTTTGAGTTTATTGCTTACATCTATAAATTTAAAACCGTATCGCCTAATTAAGAGCTACGTACAGATTTTGGCGATCTATCATTATAAAAGGCTAAATATTGTGCAAAAACAGGAGTTGACACGCTTTCATTTGGAAATGAAATTTCCTACATAATCGTCGGCTCATTTTTAAAAGTAATGAAAACAAGGTGGAACACAAAACATTGACCCAATTACTGTCTATTTAGCATGGGATCACTAAGGGAAATATTATTAATGGCTTAAATCGTTTACAATTAAGTTGTATTCCAAGACACTTATCAATTTAGAAATACAAAATGTTCAATTTTGTTTTTCAATTATGAAAAATGGCACCTGTAGAAAACAGTGTTTTCAAAATTATTTAAAACGGAGATATTTACTTATGTAACATTCATTGGCATGTGTCAGGGAGTAAATAAGAAGAATATGCATTTGATTCTATGTCTTGTTCCCAAAGGACTTTGTTAAGGAGCGGTATATCTTAACGTACTTTTATAATCCCGAACTCAAACATTTCGAATACTTATTTCGAGAACGCTTTGTTGAGAATGGATTCGAGATGTACTCAAAATTAATACGTTAAAATGTGTATTACCATCTTAATAACCACCTCACAAATTATTTTGGAAATCAAATATGTACGATTTTTGAGATTTTTATTTTCGAATGTTGACTTACTTACTTGACTTGACTGAAAAACGCAGCCCATGAATAAATTGTTTAAACATCCAAAATATTTTGAAATTTTGCACAAGTAAACTTCATTTTGTAAAAATTAAAAAAAAAATTATTTGATTATGAGTTATTGACCAATTTCAAAACATTCACAATATCAACAATCTTGTTTTATAGGGTATTAAGTGGACGGGAATTGAACAGAAATTTTTACTTATTTGGCAACAACTGGCAAAGAAATGAAGAAAACTCTAAATATTCCCCATTATTTAATAACTTTATCTGAGAATAGTCCTTCAGTAATGGAATTAAATGTTTAATCTCAGGATTTCGCAGTGCATTATGTTTTTCAAAAGTAGAGGTTAGCATTTTGCATTAACATTTAAAAATTGAGGACATTGAAGCTGTAAACTTTAACAACCGATTTTCTTTTGATACGTTCAATTGTCACTTGCAATGGAAAAAATATTTACTCCCAAACTGCCAGTTCGGTGTTTTCTAACGATGTTGTCACCACTGCCAAGTGAGATCCTTGGCTCTCACAATAGGTTTGTGCGTCTGCCCAAGATCTGCTTGAAAGTGATTTCCACCCACTCAGTAGATAGCAGCTACTTCCATATGTATCCCAGTCTGTGCCACAACTTCCACCTGTTCCTACGGTACAATATACAATCATTTACACTTTTGACTGCGTAGCATTTTTTAACAAAATGGTCCTTTTTGGGCATAATTGGGCATATTTAAGCTAAATTATCAAAATAGGCCTTAAATTTTCAAAATTTGAGATCCAATTTTTTGTGTTCGCTTTTGGATCCGCCAGTGCGTTCATAAACAGTTTTTATTACGTCCTTAATCAGTTGAGACCCGTTGGCAATTAGTTCTACCTCGTTCTCAATACGTCCTCAGACAATTTAACGCGTCCTAAAAACGTCCCTACTAGGACTGAAGTACGACAGTTCCGTTCGTAGTATACGTCCAGTCACTGTGTTACTATTTCACCAACCGAGATGAATACGACATACACTCCCCTCTATAAGTTCGGCAACCTTAGCTCCCCCATTGAACTACGTGTTAAAGCCTCTTTATGTTTGAATTTTTATTTACTTAACCGGCGATTAAATAACTTATAATATTGATGGAAACGTAACTTGACTTTATTTCCAATACCTCCATATTTTCTCAATTTTTTTCCTCAATTACAATAGGTCGAAAATTGATGATAAATTTGATGAATGGGGGGTTCGGGGCAAACACGTAGTTCAATGGGGGAGCTAAGGTTGCCAAACTTATGGAGGGGAGTGGTACGTACATTAATAGCTCCCGGATTTTATACAGTTTTTATGTGTTCACGTACTGCAATAGATAGATAGTTATATACTGGACATATCTAATGCTTCTTAATGTATATACCTTCTTGCTCACAAACAAAAGGATGTAGCTCGCTGCATCCGGCTGTTTCCCAATTAGATTGCATACTGTCTGTGCTGCGGACGCACGCACCTGCCCCGGAGTCTGGTTGTGCGCTTCCCCAACTTGCCCATGTAACTGCATCGCCGGTTATCCACTCATCATTGTTATTTGGCTTTGTTAATCCAATCCAGTAATCACCAGTAGGGCTATAAACAAATTGTTATCAACATGATAGAAATATCAGTTAAAGCTGATCATATTAAACTGGTTTTAATTATTTTCAATGCAAACATCGGTAAAATTGTTCTAATATACAATAAGTATTGTTTAACGAGGCTTATAAACATATTGGTGCCTAAAATGCCTCCCTTTCTCTTTGTATTAACAAATAACATTACGTAGTTTGAAAATATACATTATAATATTTTCGCTTCTTTCCATAGGTTTAGCAATCGAAAGTGTTCAACTGACAGCGTACTCTCAAAATGCGTGTTTGTGTTTGGAGCATTATTCTGTTCATAAGAAAATAAAATTATGACTTTGTTGTCATTTTCTGATTCGCCAATCATGAACAGGCTTTAACACACGATCAAGAAGAGGACCTCTTGTTGGAAAATTTATGGAGGGTGTTTACTTATACTTAAACATCAAGTGACATAACGTCACGCTTATATTATTGACAGCTGTTATTCAAAAGAAGCTTTAACTTATTTGCAATTTTAGTAGAAAGGTGTAATTTTGATTTATCGCCTGTATTCAGTGAAATGTGGAATGACCACTCCTTGAAGGTGTTACTTTCAAAAATTTGCACGATATGCGCGGGCCACCGAGTGCTGATTTTAGGAAACAACGCCCGAAAGGAATGGGCATTACATTATACATTAGTCTTCACCCCATGCAGTAGATCTCCTAAAATTACATTCGTATGATAAGAGGCTCGACATTCGGTTTAACAAATGGTGAATGACAATCACATGAAGTTTTAAAAGTATGAGAATTGCATGCCGTTTTGATATTTCAAGGTAAATAGTTTGAAAAGGGGTGGTGGTAATTGAGATTACGATGTAAAGCATCAGCTTTTGTGGAAATAATAATAATTTTACTGAAATGCGAATGGAAAATACTTTAAAATGATATATACAGGGTGTTCCAAAAGTAACAGGACTGGTGCTGGCATTTTGTTAATTATGCACCAATCATCTTCAAAATTTCACATAATGTACTTTTATGTATCGTTACTAAGATCGCAAAATTTCGACAAAACATGTGAAACTCGGGTAGAGTTATGGTTGCTATAGTAACATGACATCACAATACCCGGGGCATCATTCCACGCAAAAAATTACAGAGACATTAAGCATTTTGTACATGCTATATCATTTTGTGCATGCCATATCAAAGTTGATATGCAACAACTGATGTGAATTACATTTGTTTTACATCATTTGATATGCCTAAATATCCTCTACTTTGAAAAATAGGCTCCTCTTTGGTCAGTACAAGAGTAGGACTCTGTATCCATGACCCAAACACACGCATGAACCCATTTGAGGACATGTCACGCAGCGTCAATTGGACAATTTGGAGAAGGTCATTCTCATCTTTAAAGGTCTTACAGCACTGATTTGTATTCCATTCTCAATATAAGTAAAAATTAGATATTGCATGATCAGAAGAGTATGGAGCATTGTTTTAGACCTCAAGACCTAGCTTCTCTATCGCTGTATAGTCTTTAATGGTGTACCTGCGAGCAGGCGTGCTATCAAGGTAGATGCCTGGCTTCAAATTGGGTCTTTTCAAAAACTCAACCGTGAATTGTTCGGACTGTTATACATAGTGATATTCCAGGAAATTGAATAAATATTATTATCATTGTGAAATTATACTTGAATCTGAGTTGTATAGCAACACCTGTACAACAAAGCAACTAATAAAATAAACAAGAAATGTTGTATTATAATAGGTGAATTAGATACTTTCTTCAGTAGTAATACAAAAATGTTAGATATCACATGTTCAGGAAAAAAGTTGCCCCGGGTATTGGGATGTCATGTTACTATAGTAACCATAACTCTAACTGCATTTCATCATTTTTTCTGAAACTTTGCAATTTTAGTTGCAATACTTCAAAGTACAAGTTGTGAAAATTTGAAGACACTCAGTGCAAAATTGACAAAATGCCAGCACCAGTCCTGTTACTTTTGGAACACCCTGTAAAACACATAATTAGCTTCATAAATAAGACAGAGATTAAAACTTAGAGCTGAAATTATCCCGCATTTCCCGAATTGTCCCTAGATCCGTGCAAGTCACATTCATAATGATAAGCATTAAAAAAAGATTTGCACATGGATGACAGAATGTTTCCAGCTTGCTGCCGAATGTCAAGTTTCACATCAAAAGAATGTAATTTTAGGCGATATGTCTGCATGGAACGAATCTTGGGCCTAAATTATTTTCACACATTCCAAAATATTTTCAACAAAAAAGATAAGAACTCACTAAAAGAACATACAATCCCCTCCATAAGTTTGGCAAGCTTAGCTCCCCTATTGAACTACGTGTTAAAGCTTCTTTACCTTTGAATTTTTATTTACTTAACCTGCGAGGAAAATACTTAATATACTATTGATGGAAACGTTATTTGAATTTATTTTCCATACCTCCAAATTTTCTCAATTTTTTCTTCAATTACTATAGGTCGAAAATTGATGATTATAATGAATTTTTGAAAATCGACATTTCCATGATAACAAATTGGAAATGTTAGGTTTTCCGCAAGTCATATGACAGAATATCCATCCGAGTCCTTGCAAAAATAGGAGATAGGTAGGCTAACTTTATTTAACAAAAAATGATACGTTTCTTCAGGTTCAACAAAGTTATAGTGCTTTAAAGTCAAAATTGTTTCTCAAAAAACCTCTCCCATTGAAATAACACAGGAGGCGAAAAATGGTTTTCAAAAATGACTTTGAAGCTCTGTAACTTTAGTATTAATTAAGTAAACTAAAGACTTAGTATACAAAAAAGTAAATAATTTTATTTTCTATATGACAATCTTTTTTGCTGAATCTTTTACGGAATAGATATCCTGATTTCTGATTTTCCCCGAACCCACCATTTCCCATTTGTTTATATGGGAATGACGATTTTCAAAAATTCATCACATTTATCATCAATTTTCGACCTTTTGTAATTGAGGAAAAAATTGGGAAAATTTAGAGGTATTGGAAACTATAAGGTCAAGTTACGTTTCCATCAATATTATAAGTTATTTCATCGCCGGTTAAGTAAATAGAAATTCAAACGTAAAGAGGCTTTAACACGTAGTTAAATGGGGGAGCTAAGGTTGCCAAACTTATGGAGGGGAGTGTATTTCCAATGACACGTTTTGCAAGGGTCAAGCTGGCAAAGTATCACTTTCAAATAATATAGTCCAGTCATCAGCCTGACAATCGTTTAATAGTGACCTTGAGGTCGTTATTGGTTATATAATGGAACGCAGTAACGTTAAATAGCGTGCTCTGATTGGCTTGAAACAGACAACCTTTGCCTAGCTATGTGTACATTTAATTTGAATCTCAATTGTAAATAACCTTCATCTGCAAGGTTGATTAGACCCAAACTTACCTCACAGTTGTGTCAATGAACCCTGCAATGTCGGCAGAGTCAACTACCGCTAGTTGTCCGTTTGAATAAGAATTACAAGCCGTTTCAGCACTTTCCCATTCTAACTGTGTCGCATCGTAGTGGTAACATATGTTATTGCTATGTTGAAATCCCCCTGCTTCACATTGGTTTTGGCCTGAAAAGGTTGACATTTCTACGATAATTTAATCTTAAAAAGAGTGGTATCGATATGGTGAACTTTTTGAACACGCGTTTCCCTAAAACCAGTCATCAAAACACTCTGAAAATTTTACACATCGTCATTTTTTGAATGGTTACATTATAATTTGAAATTTATATATTTATACTTTTCTCTATATTGTTTTAGAAAACAAATCAGACACTTTTTTCGTTCTTGGTATCATGTTCGAAATGAAATGAAAAATCTATCCAAACTGCATTGGAACAAAACGACATAAACACAGCGTGTTAAGGTCTCTCAATCTTGTAATTGTACAAAGGAAAGTTTGGTTGATTTAAAAAAAGTATCTTGTTAATGAAATAAAAGTATATATTATTATATGGACTGTATTATACTTATTATTGGAATTGTGGACTATTATATACATTTATACTTCCCGCCCGCTCTATCGGGGAAATAATAAACTGACAAGTATAATTTGGTGTGTCAAGAGCCATCCTGTGGCCATCTATTTTGATTTATTATTTTTATATAAAAACATTACATAATCAATTTCCTAACATTACATAATATTACACAAATTAACAATAGTATAAATTCGTTTACATTGTCTTACATAATTGTATAAAGTATTACATAACCTTACATAATGTTTGAAATGGACGCTAAAAAGCCGTAACCTAATGTAAAATAAAAAATATAAAAAAGGTTAGTTAGGACTGTACAAGCTTACTAACACATGGTGACAGCTATGTGAAAGTCTCTTTCTCAAATAGGTTTGCGAAAAACGTGACGTAGTTAATACAGTCTGTAAACTAAAACAACGTGAATTTCAACAATAATACATTTGTGTTATTGGAGGTAGAATCGGGGAAAGGAGGAGGGTTATAAATAGTGTTCTTTCTTATGTTATATAATATTTTCTTAATATAACAATGCTGAATAGCTTGTAAAGTTGAAACAATAATTTTTTAACAAATCAATGCTTATTCATGTTGTCTGTTTCGAAACATGAAACTGAATGAAGGATGCTGTCTAGCTAGGAAGTAGTAGATAGACCCAAGATGTAACTCGAGACACACGTGTATAACTGAAAGTGAAAGCCAGTACATGATTGGATATCCGGCCAGTCGGTATAAATCCATTTAAGGTCCACTTGCAGATTCCTTAAATTACTTTTATACTTCCCGCCCGCTCTATCGGGGAAATAATAAACTGACAAGTATAATTTGGTGTGTCAAGAGCCATCCTGTGGCCATCTATTTTGATTTATTATTTTTATATAAAAACATTACATAATCAATTTCCTAACATTACATAATATTACACAAATTAACAATAGTATAAATTCGTTTACATTGTCTTACATAATTGTATAAAGTATTACATAACCTTACATAATGTTTGAAATGGACGCTAAAAAGCCACTGGGCACTAATAACATGAGTTATCATGTTTGTGTGGCCAAAGACCATGAAAAAACACATGAACATTAATTTTTAAGACATGCGCCGTCTGTGAAGAAAAATTAGCTGTATGAGTTTTAAAATACAATGAATTTGTTTTGTGAGAATTACGAGAATTATTCTTATTATTCTTCTAATATGCGTATGTTTTTAACTTTAGAGATTGGCCATCAGCTCAAACTCCAGGGAGTTTTAAATTTCCGAAGGATCCCGAAATCCTCGGTCACGTTCACCCTTGCTAAAACTAATTCGTTGCTAGCTATGTGTTTACACTATATACAGGAACCATAGACTTTCCAGGCCAACTGCTCTGGGAAAGGTAATATTCATTTAATGTTTGTCAAACGTACTAGATTCCAGGCCAACAGCTCTGAAAACACCATTTTAATTTGATGTCATATCCTAATAAATGATAAAAGGGGCTCTCATCTGGTATCAACCAATTCAATCATACTTGAATTTCCTTGCCCACTTATTTCAAGAGTGCATGCATGTGCCAACCGTCTAATTTAAATTATGATTCATAAATCATGATTCGATAGTGATAAGTTGATAGCTTGGGCAACACCTCAGGCTATTTATGAATTACATTGCTGAATTAATTTGAGGTCTTATGTATTTTTTAAAACTGTTTGATGCCCATCTCCCTAGGTGCATTATTTGCTGATCCGTTAGACCTTTGTTTATACACGCGTGAGTAGCCGAACCAATTCTGAAGGAATGTGTCTTATAAAACTTTGTATCAAGATTCATGAATGTCAGGGCTTTTCTTAACCATTTGCTGAAGCTGTCTCTGTGGACTTGTGTTGTGTTTGATTGCAAAAACAGCGGGCCTTCTGACATACCCCTCAAGGTGAGGTAATTTTTAAGAAGTGAGACAGGGCAATATTTAGGAATGCTTCCTTTTTCAACTCGTATGCGATGCGATTTACCTGGTATACTATGTTTATATTTTTTGAAGGTAAGTTCGAAAGCACATATTTCGGAACGTTCTCTTATAAATTTGACATTATCTAATTGAATCAGATTTTGGTTACTCGAACCACCTGTTATTTCCCCTATTCTCAAGAAACAATGAAATGCCATAGCAAACATTGCTTTGAACATTGTTTGCAAATAGGGATTTGATGGGATGATAGAATTCAATGAATCGATAAGGCTATTCAAGATTGGTAGGGTAATTGGAAGTCTAGAGTCAATACTCGGTTGTTTTTTCCTTAGGCCTAACAATGTTTTTTGAACGATGAAGGCATCGGTGGGTGTTCTATCATGTTGCAATTTGTGAATGTATCCCAAGGCACTGATGTATGATGTAATAGTAGAAGGTTTGAGATCTTTGAAGTTGAGATACGATATGAATAGAAGCACATCAGAGACATGACAGGGAAGCATCGGGTCGTTTAATTTATACGAGTCATTAAATTGTTTATACCATTTTAAGGCTGTCTTGTAAGCCACCCTTGAAGTTGGTTCCAAGGCGGCTTCTAGAATCCCCAACAGATTCTGTTGCAGCTGTCGACTTGTGGCAGGTTTGGTACATTTATTCCCTGTAAGTTAATTACATGGTGGTTTAATAGTTTAAATTTTGTAACTTGACCTCTGGATAAACTATCTGCTGATGTATTTAATGTTCCTGCCACATGTTTTGCACTGAATGATATATTAAATGAGAGACAAGACAGAACCAATCTTCTGATGAGGGCCATTATATTCCCATCCTTTGACGTTTGTTTATTGATGATATATGCGACTGCCTCGTTATCTGTGTAGAATAAGACATTTTTGTTTTTGAAAGAGTTTCCCCACATGTCTATTGCTAAAACTATTGGATAAAGTTCAAGTATGGTAATGTGAAATTTTTTCCAGTGAGAATTCCAAACTCCGTGGAAATAATTGTTTTGAAACAATGCGCCATAGCCCGAACCTGAGCTATCTGTGAATAGTTTTAAAGTGTCGGAGGAGGTCCAATCGGGTGACTTAATGATTGCCCTCCCATTGAATTGGTTAAGAAATAGTTTCCACATTTTCAAATCTTGCTTTGCTTCGTTGTTCATACGGATATGATAATGTTTGTTGGATATTCCCCTCGTCAAATCTATCATTCTCCTCAAGAAAGCTCTACCAGGGCTAATTACTGAGCATGCAAAATTAAGGAGGCCTATGATTTCTTGCAATTCCTTTAATTTAAGCTTATCTCTATGCATATTTGTCTCTATCAGAGTACAACATTTATGAAGTTTTTCTAATGGCAATCTGGCTTCCATTGAAGCAGTGTCTAATTCGATGCCCAGAAAAGTGAGGCAATTTACCGGTTCGGCAGATGTTTTTTCTATAGATAATGGAATGCCTATGTCATTGCATATAGCCTGAAATTTTTGAAGGTACACTCGACCTTCTTCATAAGTTTTTGATACTACTAGGAAATCGTCTAAGTAATGCAAGATATTTTGTGTTTCAAGTTGTTTTTTCATTATCCATTCCACGCATGAACTGAATTTTTCAAATATAGCGCAACTACTAGCGCAGCCTTCTGGTAGAACCTTTTGATAGTAAAAATTACCCTCGAACTCAAAACCTAGTAATGGATAATCGTCTTCATGTAAAGGAATGATTCTGAATGCGGAACGAATGTCGATTTTTATTAAAAAACATTCCCTACCCATTTCCGAAATTATTTTGATTGCTTCAGATACGTTTGAGTAATTGACAGATCGCAATTCAACTGGAATTCCTTCGTTTATAGAAGAGCCTTTCGGATATGAAAGATCATGAATTAATCTAAATTCGCCGGGGGTCTTTTTGGGAATTACTGACAATGGAGATGTGACAAAATACTTATCAAACGGTGGATCAGACTGGGGAGGTGAAATCCTGTTTTTTTGAATTTCAGATTTAACTTTCTCCTTAACAATGTGGTGATTGATTATGGCCGACTTAAAATTAGTTGACCGTCTCGATTCTCTTTCGCCAAAATAACCAATACTGAAACCATTGCTGAAACCATTTAGAAGGTAGCTAGACAGAAACGCGTCGTATCCCTTGATATAGTATGATAATCTATTAATGATTATTGGTGTTGGCATTGTGATTTGAGTTTTGACCCTTGTTACTTGGAGTTTGAAAATTGGAGGACGAGCGTTGGGGTCGAAAATTCTTATTACACTTCAAGCCTGGATGGTTTGCAGAGGGACTATTACACTTAAAGCAATAGTGGTGGAATTTGCATTCAGATTTTTTGAAGCAAGTTTGGCCTAATTGGAATTTGTAACAGAATCCTTTGGGGATGTTTGGTTTTGACTTGCTATTGCTTGGGTATTGAGAGTTATTGTGCTTGTTATTTTGCTGTTGCTTTCCCTCGAGGGAAGTAAAAATGAATAACGTGGGATGGGGCTGGTCCCAGGGTAATGATATATTATTGGCCCTTGCCCGTCGAAAATTTTCGTCGTAGTAGTTCCAGTCCAAATGGTTTTCCGCTAATTTCCTTACATTCTGGCCATAGTGCATTAACGGAATTGCATCCGTGCCATATTTTGTGCAATGTATGGTGGTGAAAATATGGAAAGCGGAAATCCATTCTTCAATGGAAACTAATTTAAAATTACCTTGGGCCTTGGTTATTTTAAGATTACCTGATTTGGATTGTTTCAAATCGAATTCTGAGTCTTTGACTCGTGAATGTTTAGGGAGAAGTGACCCGAACTCTACGTACTCGTTATTCCAGATTTTTTGCTTAATAGCTGTTGGCACATGCATGTCGATAGGTATTTGGAAAGAAAATGCCTTAGAAGGAGCTTCGGGCTCATTGAGGTTTGTTTCCGTACCTAATTTTGGGAATGAGACCTCGCCGTCTGAATCCCCAGAGTCCTCGCTAGTAGAGTTGTCTCGTGTATTTGTTGAAGTTGCAGGTTGCTGGGATAGACTTTCTACCACCCGTTTCGTGATTTCCACCACCAACTCCTCATTCAACTTCTGCTTCTTTGTTGAAGGTTTTCTTCCGGGTGCTCTTGAAGGCGATCCCCTGGGTCTTAGTTGTCTCTTAGGCATGATCTGCAAATAAAACAGAGACGCGGTGGGAAAATAAAGAAAGTAACAGCGATATTTTACAATTTTAATAAAGCAAGACAAACAAAGACAAACAAATTAAAAACCGTATTTTGTCTCAACGGATAATAATTTCAATCCGTGAGATGAAGTATGAGGATAATAATTTCAACCCTCGAATCAAACGATTTAAATGCCATTTTTTGTCTCAACAGATACGAATTTCAATTCGTGAGATGAAGTATGAGGATAATAATTTCAATCCTCGAACAAACAATTTAAATGCCATTTTTTGTCTCAACAGATACTAATTTCAATCAGTGAGATGTAGTATGAGGATAATAATTTCAATCCTCGAACAAACAAATAAACGCCATTTTGTCTCGACAGATACTAATTTCAATCTGTGAGATAAAGTTTGAGGATAATAATTTCAATCCTCGAACAAACATGTAAACGCCATTTTTGTCTCGACAGATACTAATTTCAATCCGTGAGATAAAGTATGAGGATAATGATTTCAACCCTCAAACAAATAGAACGTAATACTATTTAAGAGGGCACTAAAGTCTTTAATTAAGGATACTTATTTTAATCCTTGAGACCGTTAAAAAGGTAATAGTTGTTGTCCGTAGTTTGGATATGATTTCAATCCAAGGGACAAGTGAGCTTTGTGATTAAATCTCACAATTAAATGCTCGGAAGCTGATTCTGAGCGATGCACAAACAATGATATAATTCAAATGGCTACTGTATTAAGACAAGGAATGGTTACCCAGCTTTCGGCAGCTCGAGAAATATATATTGAGTGCTGCATTACCTTTGCCCTGTTTGCGTGATAATATATATAAAGATATCTTTCTAATACAATAATTGTTTTTCAATTAAATCTTTATACCACTACCCCATGCTACGAGTAGAAAAATACAATAATGGGTCTTACCAGCAATGCTTATGTTTTGTATATTAATTAAGTTGGCTTTCACCGAAGATGCATGCTTGCTTGTAGCTTTGATAGAGTTTATAATTTCCGCGATCATTGTAATGGACACCGTCTTCAATGTAGAGGTTAAATTGGCTATTCCTAATACCTCTGTGGTGCCACAGCTTTGCGAATGGAATGTGCTCTAATAATGCTGTCAGAATACGATTGCATAGCATGACATTTTCATTGTATTTTAAAGGAGCTGAATTTCTTTGTATAAGTTCAGATACTAAAATATATTCGACGTGATATTCTTGGTGTAATTTCATGACTAGATTTTCTATATCGGAGGCAACTGTTTCGGGTCTTTTTCCGTTTGAGATATCATTTCCTCCAATTTGTAAGATGACTATGTTTGGCGGATTTTTTAATTTATTTTCCAATGTTTCATTCAATATTGTCCCTACTTTTCTACCGCCCAAACCGTCATATCTAATATGAATGCGTTCTAGCCCAAGATTCCATTTAACGCGTTTGTCTTCAGTTGTGCGAACATAATTCTTAAAGCGCCTAACAAAGGAATGTCCAATTAGCATTGCTGATAATCCATCCATGTTACAAAATGTATAAAGGAACAGATACTCACAGGGTTTAATAGATATCGCTTTAGATGGTGAAGAGATTTATATCCTCCTTCCGAGTCCTGTCCACTATGGAATTTGGTAAATGATCGAATTCAATCCACAAACTGTGTATTTATTAACTTATAAGTTCGTAAAGTAAAAATATGTTATAAATTGTATATAAATAGTGTTCTTTCTTATGTTATATAATATTTTCTTAATATAACAATGCTGAATAGCTTGTAAAGTTGAAACAATAATTTTTTAACAAATCAATGCTTATTCATGTTGTCTGTTTCGAAACATGAAACTGAATGAAGGATGCTGTCTAGCTAGGAAGTAGTAGATAGACCCAAGATGTAACTCGAGACACACGTGTATAACTGAAAGTGAAAGCCAGTACATGATTGGATATCCGGCCAGTCGGTATAAATCCATTTAAGGTCCACTTGCAGATTCCTTAAATTACTTTTATTGTTGCCACCCATTCCCCTCCACCTCCCTTCAGATATGGACTACCCAACTTGCTAATTGATATTATTATGTAATATTAAATAAATCAATTACATGTACACCAACACAAATTGTATTTGTTTTGTCCAATTAGCAACTGAGCAGATCAAGGGAAGAGACACAAATAAAAGGTTTATCTTAATTTTCATATATTTTGGGGGATTTTGTTTTAAGTTTTTGCATACTTTTTGTTAAATCAACCAAAGTTTCCTTTGTATAACTATTATATTGAGAGGTCTAAGAAAATGTTGTATATGCTATTTTGTTACAACAAGGTTCGGAAAGACATTTTATTTCATTCTCAAGAATTGGTAGAAAGGAACAAAAAACTATTGCACTAAAAACAAAAAATGCTAACAAAACAGTTAAATAAAATATACTTAAATCATTTTTGCATGAGATTGTTGCCAATACATGAAGGACCGTGTTTTTACGGAATGTTTTCAATAATAAGTTAAAAGAAAAACATTGTTGAATTCAGTTCACCATATCGATACCATGATCGAGTAAGGATAAAGTATTTTGTTTTTAGGTTGACTAGAACTTACAAAATTGTGAAAATTGTGAAAACTGAATCAGGTTAAAAAAATAAGGCGATGCATATGTAAAAAAGCAAGACAAAAGATGCAATAAGTATATCATCATCTTTTGTTACTTCCAAGTCACCTCGTTTGCCTTCTGCCATGTATCGGTGAAGTAATTTTCAATCATTCTCAAAGTATTATCATAATAAACTATGTATAAATCATACCAAATGTTAATGTGATGATATTCGACAGCGTAATGCCGATCAGAAATATCCACATCGCTGCCAATTGTCCCATTTTGGTGTTCCTATTTCATATTCTGGACGTCAAGCTTGCACATTGTAGTTTGATAGTCCGATAAATTATCTGGCATCACGATTATAATTAAATATAAAATTTCTATTGTTTGTCAATGATCAATCTCATTATACCGTATACAGGGTGTCCCATTTTAACTTCATAAATATAATGATGTTTTATTGCGAGAAGGTGGATGATAAAATTATTAAAAAAACAAATTATTGAAAATCTCCAAAATGTCAAAAATATCAATTACATTTGCTTTAAAAAAGAGTTGCAATATACTTTTTCATACAATATAAGTCCCCCTAAATGACAATGATTTTAATTAATCTGATATAGCCTCCTCTGATTTTGTTGGATACCCAGTATTTCCTGGCATGAGTAATTGGAATAGACTCCTCCGAGCAGTTCCTTCTAATATAATAAAACTACATTGTCCCTCTTAAAATCGCATTCACTCAAAAATTCGCACTGTCCCGGGGAGAATCGTATAGGAATCGTATTGCCTGGAGAAAAATATTATAATTGTAAATCTATCCAGAATACTAGATATAGTAGCAGTTCATCACAGAATGGTCCAAGTTCTAGCATTATTGGAAATAATCTTTTTCTTCAAATATTAGTGGTGGGACATATAATTTCTAAAAGTATGCACAAGCATTGCTCCATCCCGCATCAAATACCAGTTTGGAATGGTCCAATCAAGCATTATTGGAAATAATCTTTTTCTTCAAATATTAGTGGTGGGACATATAATTTCTAAAAGTATGCACAAGCATTGCTCCCTCCCACATCAAATACCAGTTTCGGTTATTCATCGACTGAACTGTAAAACCTGTGCCTATTGAGTGATATTTGGAACTACGTGCAATGTAATCACACACAGTGCTTTCAGGTGTCCTCACCCCCCACTCTAAGAACCTCCCTAGATAGACAAGTTGATCATTTTATTCAATCGGGTGCCCTCACTACCCCATTCCAAGAAGCCTCCCTAGATAGGCAAGCTGAGCATTTTATTCACCAAGGTGTCCTAACACCCCCATTCCACGAAGCCTCCCTAGATAGGCAAGCTGATCATTTTATTCAATCGGGTGCCCTCACTACCCCATTCCAAGAAGCGTCCCTAGATAGGCAAGCTGAGCATTTTATTCATCAAGGTGTCCTAACACCCCCATTCCACGAAGCCTCCCTAGATAGGCAAGCTGATCATTTTATTCATCAAGGTGTCCTCACACCCCCACTCTAAGAAGCCTCCCTAGATAGGCAAGCTCGTCATTTTATTCATTCAGGTGTTGAGCAGTCTTCCTTTTCCTCTTCCAACTCATTATTAAATATTTTACTTTGAAATCACATATGTAATGCAATGCTTTTGACTGAATATTCTGCTGTCTTAATGATTTCTAGAGAATTAATACAATGGAATTTTGTACAGTGTTTGCCATGTTCAAGGATACCATTTTAGCTCTGGGAAATATGACACATACATTCGTCACATTGATTCTTATCGAAGACCTTGATTACATCGTTATATTCCTTTGGGGCAGTTTAAATATCATATTTCAATAGAAGGCCATGATTTCTCACGATGCTTTATTTGTGTCATGGATAGCATTTCAGCTCTTAGTTACGGCTTAACAAATGCATTTCAATCAAGTCCTTGAATGTGTAATGAATATTATTGAAGTGCTCTTTCTGCAAGATTTTCTTTTTGTGAAGTTCAATCAATTATAAATATTTATCTGGCAATTGGAATGCGTGCGAATGTGAAACTAATGTATATTTCTACTTCGGTCCAGCCTTCGTAGTAGTTTGCAATAACAGCAGGGGCGGATCTGGGAACCAACAAGGGGGGGGGGGGGCCCAAACTTCTGGTCTGAGAAAAAAACTTCCGCGCTTGCGCGTAAAAAAAATTTGGGCCCCAAAAACCCAAAAGTGGGCCCAAATTTTGAAATTTTGAGGCCCATTTTCTTCAAAATTTGGCCTAAAATTAAAAAACAAGGCCTTAGAAGGCCAATTTATGACCAAAAAGGCCTACTTTTTGGGGCCTTAAGGCTTTTTTTGGCTCAACATTTTTTTTGGGCACAATTTTTTTTTTCTGGGCCCACCCAAGGGGGGGGGGGGCCCGGGCCCCTGGGCCCCCCCCCAAATCCGCCAGTGAACAGCTTTTCGATTTAGCGCCAGTATAAGTTGGCACACGGTACGTAAAAACTGTCATGCCCAGGTAACCTCAAAAAATGCGCAAAATAACAACATTTCTGAGGTTGAGAGTCTTATCTTAATATAATATAATAAATCGTGTTGTGTGCTGAAATATCACAAGCTTTGAAGTCAAAATAACAAAAGGGATGTTAGTTGTGCGAATTGGAAATACAAGATAATAAGAGATTTTGAAATTAGTATTTGTACAACTTTAACGTTTTCAACTCTGAATAATTTTCGTGAAATTTTCACAGGATGAACTTCAAAGCATTCCTAACACAAAAAATCTTTTTAGGCCACAATCAATTTTCATTATAATTGCAGCTATTTAGAAATGATGTCCAACCTCTGTTAAGTGCCCTTTTTGTTGGGAATGGAGAACAATTCTAGCATTTATTGATTTTGAGTGCCAGCTCACGTACTAGCTTATGCACAGGAATTTGTTCTCATGTATTTAATCTATCTATATTGGTTCTCGATTGGAGGGGGGAGGGGGATGTTAGACATTGTTTCTTTTCACGTTAGATTATGGTTTTGGGATATATAGGGTCTACTTTTCTTATCACAGATTTACATTTACAGTTTGCTTTGTTGGGTTTCTTTAAAGTTTTTAGTCACCCTTCCCTTTGGCATTTTTGCTTATATATTCACATTAAAATGGAATAATAAAATGATACAAATTATGCTTTGGGTTTCTGGGTTTGACTTTTAAAAACCTCTCATGTTGAGGGCCGCGGGTAATCTTTTCAAAAAACAAAACAAAAGCATCTAACATCAAAACATAGAAAAATCGTGCGATGATGTCGCATTGTCTCTCTCAAGCCCACAGGTACTTCTCTAAAAGGTCCAATCGATACATCATGAACGTAGGCTTTGTGAGGCGAGATGCTGTTTTAGTGACATTTCACTAATACAGGGTGATTTCTTCATTCGTTTTCTTAATATAAATAGAAATTGATTGCTATCAAATTTGGCACACGGAGACTTCTTCCAATGTGAAATCGTCTGGCAGAGTTTTAATAACCATTGCCTTATATTGATAGAGATATGATCGTTCTAAAGTATTCTAATGATTCTCACACAGTATCAATTAATGTTGTTGTCAGATCATTCAGTCTTGGGTCGTCATGGATGAGTTTCCCTATCTTGACTCCTTGAGTTAAAGTTTTTGACAATTTTCTCTGTTCTAAATTACCCTACCCAAAAGTCAATGGTTTATCTGGTTAACGACGACATTTAAACTTATGTCTTAATTCAGCCTAGAGCTGCAACAAAGGATTTTCTACGAAAGTATGTCTTTACGATTAAGAATTTTTCTTCTTTTGCTCACAACATAATCTGAATTAAAAATACTACATTATCATTGAATGAATCTGTCAATGAAAAACAAGAAATGGAGGTTGCGATTTTTGGTCATCCTGTATATAACGTTGTTTATGGTTTTGTTAGCCTACTCCCCAGCAGCACTTCATTTATTTCGTACGATTCTTGTTTTCACGATCATTAAAAATGCCCTCAATCAAGGTTATGACGACCGTCTGTTTATATACAATGTGAAGGTTACTGGGATTTTGGTTCACGACCGTTACCATAGCATACACTGTTACCTTCCCTAAGCGGTGGAAGATCGATAGAACTGTGGCGCCAGACTACGCACGATATGATCCTCGAGAGTTCCCAGGTCATATTTAAGTCTGATTTAGTTCAAAATATCAAAGCATTACGTCAACTATAAAATAGTTTAATTCGATGAAAACTAAATATTTCGAAATCGACACATCCCGTCCCGTCAAGTATTTTTTACAGAATATACATATATACAGATATATAGACCCTCGTTGCTCGATTGATAACAAAAACATTGACTTTTGCATGTTGATAACGTTGCGCCTTTTCTAATAGATCTTACATCTGTTGAGCAATTTACTTTCGAAAAAAATCATGGAAGACTTCAAATATTTTATCGTGTCGTGCGCTTACTTGTTTTGCGATTCAACCGTTAAGTTCTGCGTGAAAAAGTAAAAATCTTCTAGATGTGTTAAGCTTAATTGTGTTAAGACTATAGCGGGAGATCTCCCTGTTGAAGAGCTATATACTTGGTCCTGTTGTCAGCGGAACCTCATCATGTGAGAAACGGGACCTTGAAGGATATGATTTAATTGAAATATAAAATGTTCTGTGAAACTTTAAGAAGTGTAATTCAGTCCAAATTTATTTTATATCCCATTAAAAATAGCATATCTATAATCAAACATGCTGTGAAGCGAAAAAACCTCAAAGTCACCATATAACTTTGTTACAAACACATTTACGTATTTAAACCTTCAGCTATCATTGCAGGCCTTCATACTAACAATTTAGGAAACCTGTTTATCAGTTACAATTTGAATGATGAATTGCAATTTTTACTTTTTGGAAAAGACAATTTAGATGCATCAACAAATAAAGATTTAATTCATATTGTTAGTTTTACATGAGTTTTAATATCATATCAAGTATGTGACAACAGGTTTCGATTTTTCATTTTTCTGCTTTTTCCTTTTTGTCATCATCCCCGCCCATGGGATTTCCTTGTTTCAGTGATTTGGAATTAAGTATATAAGTATGGTGTTTAAACTGCTTCTTTATTCGGTACATTAAATATTCCATAAATACCAAATAAAACAAACAATTTACCAAACCTTTACCCAATCTATCGAATGTTTTTTTATTTTATCGAATGTAATAATCTATACTTATTTGTATTTGCCAAATAGTTTCACTTGTTCTTTGTGTTGGCATTCACATTTGATATCTGTACACATTGTACATGTATTTATGTGATGCAGCGAATCTATTCGTTTTCCTTAACGAGCGTATAATTCGATAAATTTCGTTATAATTCTATACTTTACGAGACTTTCAGTCACCTGATATATTTGAACGATGTAGAATAGCTGCGCGGCCATCTTGCAAATCTCGAGGTAACGTGACAAAATATCGAACAACAACGAAAGTTATCGAATATTACTTTATTGCATTCGGTGAATAGGAAATTAGCTTTCGGTAAAATGCATTAACTAGTCATAGGAAAATAAACCATTTGGTAAACATAGGCAAACTTATTTCGATAGGGTTCAAATAGAAATTCAATATTGTGCATATACTGCGTTACTCTTAAGGAATACCATAACAATTTACGCAAAAAACATCATTTAGCGAATGAAATATGTAATTTAATGCACATAGTATTAAGTGATTTGCTATTTTAAAAACTGAATTTGCTGTTAAAACATATAAACGTTTTTACCGAATGGAAAAATGATCTAGCGAATATTAATATTTCATTTATCGAATATATTTGATTTTAATGAATAAAGAAGCAAAAATAATGCCATATGTAAGTAAACCTTTTGTATTTCATATTACAGAGATTTCGCACATACGTGAAAGTACAACTTATAACGTATACTTATAAAGAAACGTACAAGGTGTTTCATAATGTGGGCTTTTCGTCAGGAAAGATCTTCTCGGACTGTAATAAATAAAGGTCAAGGGGATGCCATTTGTACTTTCTTGAATTGTAGCATGTTCTGATGTTTAGTTGATCCAAATGTGTTTGTCTAGAATAAAATAGGCTCATGTATAGTACATATGTTATAGACCCATCTCTTCTCAAATTCACTTTTTGGAGATACTCGTTATGAAACACCCTGTATGTCATTTGTTGAGCTACTGAATGGGTCGTTTCCAGGAATTGCTAGAATCTACTGGTTTGATTGGTGTTTCAAATTGATGGTTAACGTATTTGATTGGATACTGTTCCTACTCAGCCAATTCATTTTAAAAAATGCTTGCGGTCAATTGTTCCATACATATGTAGGTAAATCTTTATACGGATATCCAGCAGTATACGTTTATCATCGACATATATATACCGTTTTGTAAGTTCATTGAACTTATACTGATCAAGCAAACTTTGAAATAATCAACTTGTTTATGTAATGATTCACTTTAAGGATCATGACTCACTTTAAAGGATCTTGTTTATAATACACTACAACTACTAGGACACGGAAACAAGCATTTAATTATAATGTGCATAATCTACATGTGCAGGTGACAGTGCATTCACAGTCTCTAGTTGATGGAGCTTTTCTATATCGGGAATAGTTATGTTGCATTAAATACAATTTAAAATTGATTTTAGTAAATATAATAGTTCGACATGAC